GTGCGCATTTACAGGGAGGTGTACACCATTCAACATTGCGTTAACGGACTCTTCAGGGTTAAATTTATAAACATGTAACCTTTAAAGTTGAGAAACGCTAATCAATCACTTTTCTTAGAAAGAGAAAAGCAGTGATTCCAAATCTGCTCTTACTTTAGTACATAATCGCCCTTAAAAGGATATACAGCCGTTGAAATAGTGCCAATGTAGCGAAAAAGTACCTTTCGGCGGTACTCGTGCGAAAATCCTCAACGTAGCCGTTTTTTTAATACTGGACGTTTGGAGCAGTTCTAGTAAGCATTTGATAGAGCAAATCTTCTAGTTTATGATGGCGTATTTACTTTTCGGATTGGATGAGTTTGAACGGAGTTATGGCTTTAGGAAGTAAAAACTCGCACTCATCACAAATTTTCCTCGTTAATTTTGCAAAATCCTCAACGTGGCCATTTTTCGAATACTGGACGTATAGCTGCTTTAGCAATGTTTGATAGAGAAAATCTTCTAGTTTTGTCTGCCATATTAACTTTTCGAATTTGACGAAAATGAAGCAAGTTGTTGCTTCGGAAAGTGTAAAAACTCGTGCTCATCTCGAATTTTCCTCGTTAATTGATCTAAATTTGTTATTTCTTATAACTTTTTGTAATTTCAATACTGATTAGAAAAAGCTCTTCACAAAACTTCCAAATCTGCTTTCAGATTGAAAATTCGTTAACTTTGAAGAAAGTTATAATCATTTGAATATTTGTTCAAATTTCAATAGTAAATAAGCTGCTCCACGGTCAACGCCAAAGTCCAGTCAACACACAGCTGGCGAAGGCTTTTACAAGGCTTCCTTTGAGCGAAAGGGGGACGTGTAAATTGAGAACCATAATCTGTGTAGTACTAGAATTTGGTAAGTCTTGTGGAGGAAATAAATAAAGAAGAGATGTTGTCATAGTATGCCATTTTTAGTGGCTAGTTTGTCGTTTTCTGGTCTGTTTCTCGTTTGCTCGTTTGGTAGGACTCATCAATAATGATTATTCTTTGACTTTTTCACTTTTGTACTTCTTAAACGAATTTTTTTGTGGGCGGTGGGTAGCAGGGCTTTTTTATGAGCAGTTTTGGGGGAGAATTAAACAAGCTTTTCAACCTTTTCATAGTTCGGCTTTTGAAGAGGGTTGTTTCATGGACTTCGGCCTCCGGCGGAGGGTGGTGGGGGGGGGGTCGTATTTCCAAATTTTCCTCAACGCCTCGCTTGACCCTGACCAACACGTCCCCTCGGTGATTTTTTTTTTTCTCTTCTTTGCGCAGGGCGGTGGGGAACCCTGGCTCCAGGCAGTTGTTAAAACAGTCACTGTCTCGTTAGACGAGCCGAGTATTCTTCCAACACAGAGAGAAGGGTGAAAATAAAATGAGCTCACAGACCCTTCATTCTGTAATCTAGCCATACTAGTCTGAAACTAGCCTCACTCACATGGCAACTATTCGCCCATAATAGCAAGTTGCGGGTTAGCAACTGCCCATCATGGTAGACGTCCTCGAGAGAGATGCACGGTTTTGGGCAGCATATCTGATAAATGAATGGTGCTTGGAAGAAAACGGTATCAAAAAGTTTTCCTTCCGATTTTCTCAACTCACAGATTTGTGTTTGTAAATACCGCGTCTCTGTGACAATAGTATTCCATGGGACAACCCTCGCATCCATAGGATGGTGGAGTGCTCGTCGTATGAGGCTCTCCTACAGGACACACCGGACGAATTTCACCGGGTAACGGACAGCAGAATCCCTGGAATGATTCTCTTAGCCGTAAAAAACAGAAGAAACCATAGAACTACTTGTTAAAACGGTGTTAGCTCGCATCGTCGAATTGGAACCAGTAGTAGTCGTAGGGCAGTAGGATGTTGTTCCAGTTCAGACATTTAGAATTGGAGCTCACTGAACACACTGTTAAGTGTTTTCTGATAAACGATTCAATAAGGTTTTGTGCTATTCAGTCTCCTTGCGATGCAGTAGGGATTTACAGCGGCACAGAAGTGAGGAGACGCGCCCCTTTGCGCTGCAGAAGATTCTCTGCTGGTGATATGTTCAACTCCATGCCGCTTAAATCAGGGTGAATGGTTTCCTCGGCACGCTCTCTACCGTGCGAGAGTAATGTCGAGAGTGAGCATTCGCATGGGAGAGCGTGAAAGAATCCTCGATGAGCCGTTGTCATTTCCTCAAGCGATTTTCACCCTGCTCTATATCCGAAGATGATCTTCGGCAGATCAGCGTGCACCACTAAGAACTCCCTCCCCGCCCTTCACCCACGGCAGTTTATTGTATCGCCACAGCATTTTTAGTAGCTGCATTCCGTCAAGTGCCAGTGATGGTTCACATCACGGCATACTTTGCTTAGCCTTGCTAACTAACTCTACCAAGGTCAATCCTCGGTCAGAATGTGGAGCAAGTGTAGAGATATCTCGTTTGTTGGAGTGCGAAGATGGTAGGTTTCGCACATTATTTAGATATCTGACGGTGGGAGGTGCGGCCGGTTGTTTCAGATACGGCAGTTCATCGCATCTGTGGACTCATTTAACTATGTGCGCGTAAACAATTGGTGTATTTAAAGGTGTATTTGCCGAGAATAGGCTTTTTACGAACATAGTTCCTAGATAAAGCGCGTGCGATTGGAACTACATAAACCAATTACAGGGTGGGCCAAAATATGGTAAAGGATAAAGCATTTGCCGTTGATCAATCCCTTTTTGGGATGCGGCACGCATTCTACTTCCATTTGTACATTCGTAGTGGCGTTTGAATGCGATGTGGCCTATACAATGACTTGCGGGGCCGATGTACAAGTCAGTGTTTTTATCCTCCCAGACAAGTCTGGTACCAATTAACCGACCCCGGAGGGATGGAAGGCTTGGTTGGCCCGGGCGACTCACGACCCAGGATTTGATCCCCGGACCGCTCGCGTGGTAAGCGTGCCACTTGCCACTACACCACTTCCGCCCTCAAGAATTAGTTACTAAATATGAATATGTACCAGAATAGGGAAGCAGATCAACTTCAAAAAGAGATGGCCACTAGTGTCGCAAGCAAAGCGACAAGTGTGGCAAAGCGAGGTTGGGTTTGAAATCTGTCGATTTGAACTTATAAGGGCTTTCGGATAAAGATGGAAGGCGTGGTGGCACGGAGGTGGAAAATGATTTCAAGTTTCTTGTTGTATTCTCTTCGAGAAATCAGACCCTCATGGGGTTTAAGCTTGCTCTTGCCTTCAGATTTACCGTACAGAAATTCAACTGAATTCGGTGGAAAATTCCTACGCAACAGGGATCGAAAGTTATGAACTCAAAAAAATTTTCCTTTATTGCTTTACGACTAGCAGCCTTGTCCTGCTGAAGCGTCTTAAGTATCTGAGTCGCTCTTTTCCATGACAGAATTGGTTCTTAAGGGTGTACGAGTGGTCCTTCACATCAATTTTTTCACTTTGGTGATGCAAAGGTCGCGAAGAGGAGTTACTGCATTTCGTATTGTCCTGATGGTTACCATAATCTTCCATTCTTCTTCTTTTCCATCCTAAGTGGTTCCTAACATAGTGGAGCGTTCATCCGTCACCCATAAGAACTCCTTTATTACATTGGACTGTTGCCAGATGCAGCCTGCCAAAGGTTCAATTTGAGGATTGGCATACCGTGTTGTGGCAGTTCCACTAATTTTGAGATTTCTACGATATTGATTTCAATAGACTCTGTCCTATATCATTACCCCCAAAATAGAGAAAAGTGAATGGAATCAGAAAAAAGTAAATTTGACCGACACTCGCGGCTGCCATAATTTTGACTTTCACTGTATAACGTTTCTATAAAGAAGATGGTACGACTGGAGGAGGCTCTAGGAGTTCCATGGCAATCACGGTCAGAAGAGGCACGGTACGAAGCACACAGATTTCGCGCAGTGAGATATCCACTGTACATATTGTTTGAAACGAATTTTGCATTTGAAAGAAACTGAGACAACATATCCCTGATGGAACCTGAGTGAACGTTAAGTCCTGCCTCTTGAAACACGGGTAGTCCCATTACTATTCGTGTTTTTAGACTTCTGCCATGAGGTTGTTTGGTGCAAGAATTGTTTCGACCGTTTCAGCGTTTTCAAATACCCAATTTCTGAAGTGGAAGGCGCTGTGAACAATCAGTCATCAGTGGCAAAAAATCCGCGGTAGAATTCGGGCCTCTGAAAACGATGGAATGGTCCAAACGTGAGGGATAATGGACTCGTCCACCTAACAACTTCGTGGCAGAAGTATAAAAATTGTTTTAGGTACTTATCGTCTGAATGTGGGCGGAAGTGGTGTAGTGGCAAGTGGCACGCTTACCACGCGAGCGGTCCGGGGATCAAATCCTGGGTCGTGAGTCGCCCGGGCCAACCAAGCCTTCCATCCCTCCGGGGTCGGTTAATTGGTACCAGACTTGTCTGGGAGGATAAAAACACTGACTGGCAAGTCATTGTATAGGCCACATCGCATTCAAACGCCACTACGAATGTACAAATGGAAGTAGAATGCGTGCCGCATCCCAAAAAGGGATTGATCAACGGCAAATGCTTCGTCAGTCAAAATGGCTGCACTACAGAACCGTCCCAATATTCTATTATTGATAACAAAATACCGACTTGTTCTCGTAGGCTTCTCCTTCTTCAAGATATCCGTTGTTGACTGTGGAACAGCATTCTTGCAACTGCTGCTTTCATCGAGCACGTCACAATTTCCTCAGAGACCATCAATGGATGACCATTATTGACACATTTATAGCCTGAAATAAGGAGTAGGGCAATGAATTCACATTACCTTGGCCCCACCTTCTTGATTTTGTTAGTTGGAGTCAGTGGACTCTTGGTGAAGGTTCTTTTTTCAGATGTTCTCTCTGTATTTCTGAGAATTTCACCTTAGCCTCGTATTCAGATGTCAGAAGTGATATCCAAAAATGCCAAACTTTACTCAAAAGTCCAACTCAATTTTCTTTGGAGTCTCGCTCTTTCATCTGCTATACTTGCTATTTACGAAAAACTTACTTATGGGCTTACAGCCGCCTCGACCATCTCTCTGGAAGCCTTTCTTGCAACGACATCCTCCTGTTGAACACTCAGAAAACGCTGACGAACACTCCATGTCCGTCTTGCATTTCTCCTAAAAATCTAGGTTTAATACTTCAGCAATCACGCTCATCTTTTCGCTAATTTATTTCTAACATAGCGGTAAGCAAATAAATGAATTTGATAACATAAAAGGCATAAATGTTTTGTTTGAGGCATAAATACACAAGAGTTTCATTAAAAATTCACTGAACCTTCGACCAAAACGGTGCGGCGGTACACAAAGAGAATATTTATCGAAATTACTGTCAGTGAATCCCCGACGATCGCTTATTCGAAAGTGCTGTCCAACTTTCGACTTGAACTAATATGCAGTTTGTTCTCTATTTATCAGTGTCTGGAACCACATGTCCACTACAATGCTATCGAAAAAACTTGCAGGATAATAGTTGGCTGAGGCAAAATCTTGTGGTATCTGTATTCAGAGAACCAAAAATTATTACACCAAGCTATGATCAATGAATTTCACGCCCCAACGGAGGAATTACGGTGGAAGTGGTGTAGTGGCAAGTGGCACGCTCACCACGCGAGCGGTCCGGGGATCAAATCCTGGGTCGTGAGTCGCCCGGGCCAACCAAGCCTTCCATCCCTCCGGGGTCGGTTAATTGGTACCAGACTTGTCTGGGAGGATAAAAACACTGACTTGTACATCGGCTGGCCCCCGCAAGTCATTGTATAGGCCACATCGCATTCAAACGCCACTACGAATGTACAAATGGAAGTAGAATGCGTGCCGCATCCCAAAAAGGGTTGCGATAAGATTGAATGTCAAAGAAGGGAAAAATTGCACAGCTACAAGCCAGGCGGACCTTCTGAGGGTGCTGACATGCGCAGTTGGCAGCAAAGGATTTGACCTTGCGATCTATCATGGCTTCTCCTTGCGGGGGGGGTGGGAGCTGGGTGGGGGGGGGGGGGGTGGGGGGGGGTGGGGCGTTGCGGTGCGCCCCCACACTACTATCTATCACTCGCCAAAGGTACACACGGTGAGTGATTAGATAACAGAAGAGAGCGTAGTGTTCAAGAGGGCACAACGATTAGAGCCGCACCAATACGTCAATCAAAATAACGCAAACCAGCTTTCGAAGGAATTTTTGACTTGTTTTTTGGAATGCTTGGAGTTTCTGCGATTTTTGGAATTCTTTTGAACTAAAACTTGTACCTAATGCCGCTTTGTGTTACACAAAAATTAAAAAAAATAACAGATGCAGAAGGGGATGTTTCGCGACCATTCCCAATATAAAGTCCTGTTTAAAAATTAGCCTATTAAATTGACGCAAGTCTTCACGGCAGAGGTCAGTGAAACCTTCAAGTTTTTACTAACCTTGAGTCGTCTTCTCACTCTTTGGCACGATTTTCCATCAGCGGCTATAGCGTAGCCAAGCTCAGTCGGACACTCGCACCGGCATCTATTGCCGTTATCACATATGCACGCTGCACCACCGTCGCATCCGTCCTGCACGACGCATGTCTGGCCGCGCCAAGGGACGAGTCTTACCTTGGAACCGTGGTAGCGGCCTTCCTATCACTGCACATGTAGCTTAATTTGCACCTCGTTAGGCCAATATTCCTGCCTAATTATCTTTACCTGAGACTGGTGTGTTGTCAACGGCATCCTTAGTCTGCAGCATACCAGTCTTGCGTTCGCAATACCCTTCATCAGGACATGGCATAACTCGTCCGAATTTGAACTGAATCGCGAAGATTGTCGTCCAGTTTCGACTACCTGTATCATGGTTGCAATATGTTACCTGGCACACAAGTGGCTTTCCAGTGATGGCGTTGAGCATGGTCTTCGCAGGTCGTGGACATGTTCGGATTTCTTAAATATTAGTATGATTTGACTTCATCGAATCGTATCAGTGAAAAAGGGCAAAATTTCGGTCAGCATTCCTCGCAGAGCGATCTCATCCACCGCTCACGAAAACTGTTTTTAAGCTTTAGAAAATAGGGAATTGTCGCTTTAAAGGAAAATTTTGCGATAAAACTGATTCCCGAAAGCGAAATATGGTGGTGGGCAAGATAGAGGAAGGGGCAGTTAGACTATACACAGCAGCTTTTGCGGCAGAAAGCGCCCTATTTAACAAGACATAGGGTGCAAAAAGGTGCCCACGCGAATTCTGGCGTACGGTACAGTGAACCAGCACCCGTGTAGGGCGATTCCCACATACAGGAGGCGCCACATGTGTGACAGTCTTCCAAAGGTTTATCTCAAAAACGTAGTAAACCTCTAGGGACGGGGCAATATCCTTGAAGGCGGAGTTTACGATTAGATGATAGCTCATTAGAGTTAAGGTAGAGGCGGTCAGTATGGCCTGGATGAAGAAAAAACAATGAGAAAAGGCACACAACCAGGCTAGTAAAACTGTTCCTAATGCTGATTTCCGCTTCGACACGACTCTTATCAGTGCTGCCCACTCCAACGCTGACACTTTCTCTGGCCGGCTAGGACTTGAAGCCTTGAAGAAGGTGGGCGTATCCGTCGATAGCGCTGCGGGGAGCGGCATGCTGGGTCGCTGGGCTACATCT